TTCTGCACCCCAGGCTTGTTGGGCTTTCTTCACCCAGTCTCAGCTGAGAGGTTCATTCAAGAAAGCCGGCCCTGGACATAAGCTTACCGGCCATAAACTTGTCTGATGGTTGCTGAGGTTTTATGTGACTGTGAACTAGAAGGACTGACCGGCAGATTCCAGTGATGTGATTGGCCTAAGCTGTTTTGGAGCACCTTTTAGAGCAGCCAAAACAGTGTTTTGGAGCAGCTAAAGTGGACTTTGGAGCAGCCAAAACAGTGTTTTGGAGCAGCTACAACAGTGTTTCGGAGCAGCAAAACTGGCTTTTGGTGCATACATTCTTAGAAAAATAAAAATATTTGTTTTAAGTGCTGGACAAACAAAGAACACTTTGCTCGCCGCAATAAACAATTTATAGTCAAGGTAAACCACCGAGTCTTTCAACATATAACTGAAAGGCCAATGACATGACACATTTTGCAATGCTTTAGTTAAATTATACATATATATATATACCCGCTATAGGTAAATAAAACCCAAACTGCACATATTAAAATTTATTTGAAAATGACCAACTTAGTAGTAAATATCACACCATTAGGTTGCCTAGTTATGTAATAAATGGAAGCAGTCTCTACCTGTTGATACACGTGACCACTGCAGTGCAGTGCAAAATTGTCGTGCGAGAGGAGATTGCTGTTCGATCGAAACCATGCCAGTCCACTCCGTTGCCAACTGGTTCCCAAAATTGTAAACAAAATGTAACTGTCCAGCATACAAAAAAAAAAATCCATTCGCACATGCTTGTTAGATTGGCTAGCGAGGTACAAGCTAAACACAGCAAAAAAAGAATATGAGTGCATCGATGCAAGACATCACGAGCGAGGGTCAAGAAGTTCTTGAAGCGCTTGGTGTAACGACTGATCTTAAGAGAAACAAGCGTGTTGTCCGGGTTCAGAGTGCAGACATTGCCTTCTTTGCTTTAGCTCACTTCTCTTCACCAAGTCCCTTTCGCGGCAGATTTTTTACGTACCCGAGTCCCCCTCGAAAGAAAGCCTACCAAGAGAAACCTTGGTAATCAGTACTTCGACACAGTAGTCTTTGAGCTTGAGGGATTTTTCGAGCAGCATATTGAACAAGAACAGGAATGTTGATGAATATTAGGGCGGTCCTTACGTTTCAGTTTAGAAAGCGCCATATGTGTAGCGACGTGGGGACGGCAACACCCAACGTCGCGCGACCATGGCGACTGGCAAGCAGGGACCAAATATAGTTTTCCCACAGCCGTTGCTTTCAGGAGCAAGTGCTTCAGCTCACAATGTAACTCCCGCCACGCAAAAACGTGATTTCGTTTCACAGCATGATGGCATGGATGGTACCCAGCACCTGAGCGTCGGGGCGTCCGCAGATGCCCGCTCTTTCGTCGAAAAAGTTTTAAAAAAAAGATGCGAGACGATGAGAGCGCAAAATGCGAGACTGTGGTAAAAACCGTGCAAGATCGGATGAACGATTGATGAAGGGTACTTTGTGTCAGGCGGCCGCTTGCGCCACCTAGCTATGTGTGCCCATTATGGTACTCAATATAGTTTCGGTTTTGAAAGTCCTTCGGTGCAGGCTTGTTACAGATTACCCATATTTTTGCAAAATGTAGCAGGATGTAGCAGGGTTAGCCCCATGGTGCAGTTTGGCGCAATTGGCGCAGCAATCACATCACGGAGATTCCGTAATCTTCAGCTTTGTATTTATAGCTGTCATCAGGGTTTTCCCCAAAAATATTTGAGAGGTGGACATCGAAAGGGAGGGGGACTGAGAGGAAGGGGCTCTAAAGCGCACTTAAAAACAATGCGCAGTATTTTCGCGCTTTCTTGGTCACACTGTGCCCTCGTAGCAATGATGCCAAATGCAGGCATCAGCTTGATAAGCATGGTGCTGCGAGATTCGCTCGATGTGGATGCTCCAAAGCACTATACGCCTCAAAGACTGCATCTTTTTGTTTATCCACGGCAGAATATAGAGTTCGCTGCTACATCACATTTGGGCTAGTGGGCGGCAGACCCACCACCGCCCACTGTGGCGAAAACGAAACCCTGACTGTTATTAAACACGAAGCTAGCTCAGAAATATTGGCTGGTGTCGCAGCAATGCTTTGCTGTGCTCCGTTTATCCTAAAGCTGACAGTGCAGTGTATGCTGCGCTCACGCCGGACCAATTCATGGCATGGCTTTTGTCACTTGACCTCGTTCTCCGCTCGTGAGTACGTGAAGGGAGAGGAGAGGTGTGTCCATGAGGTGCAAGGTCGACAGTTGACTGGTCCAATGGGTATGCAGCTTCCACCGCACCATCAACCGGGAAGTAAACGGCGTATAGCGGTTGCAAGTGGTTGTAATGCAATGTAACACAAATGTATAACCAGCCGTATGTTCCACAGAGAAGTTAGCTCTCTCTCTCGTATACCACTGTAGCGATGATTGAATACAATGTCTATTTAGCAGCTTATTAGATCTTCGCTCACTCCTCTACAATTTTTACTTGATATTGGTACACCTTTTTCAGAACATGCAAGTAGAAAGAACAAAAAGTGTTTTTTACTCTATAGTTTGCATTATTCATCTTTTAGAAAATGGTTCACCAACCTTTGTCAGAAACTACGTATCACTGCACCTTTACTGCTCTGGAGAGATTGTACTTCCCTGCTTGATATTTCATGGTTTTGTTATTTGGAAATCACAATATAACAATATGTAGTAGCTGGTCAAACCAAGAAGGAAGTAATAAACTTATATAATGCATGTTAATAGGTCAAGTACTGTCCATTTTCACAAATATTTTGAGAAGTAAATAGACAAATACATAATGCCAGTCATTGGAGATTTCTTGACAGTTTGTGTTTGTGCCACTACTTGCTCTGGCTTAGGACTTGCAACTTCCGCACATTTTTTTTAGAGGCTGCAGCGTCTTGGATAGCCTCATTTTGGTTCCGGCAGTAGTTAGCAAGGAAAGTGTTAGCTGACACACTCAAGATGTGCGTCATCACAACCTTGGGGTCATGTCCAAAGTCACACACATCCAGGTCATCATACTTGGTCAGCATCTCCCTAGTGACAGACATAAGCAGTCCCTTCTGGTTTCGAACTGCAAAGAACTGTGCTGCATTCTCCTTGTCTGTGAGCTTTTCCAGCACTAGCTGTGTGTGGAGCACGGCATTCACGACTACGGCTTGGGGAAATTTCAGCCCTCCCCGGGAGATTCCTTTGATGAGGCTTGCATCGTCGAGCTCAATGCTTCTTTCTTCCAGGGTGAGGTTTTCTTCGCAAGCATCGCAACCAAGTTTTTTTAGGACTGCATGGGCACAGTAGCCTGCAATATAGGTAATCGCAGGCATCTGATCATGTTTGGCAGCGATGTCAGTAGCATCTACTGTGATGCTGAACTGGTTGCGTTCCTCCTGTGTCACCTCTTCGTGTGTTGCTTGTTCTTGTGCCCTGCCAAGTAACTCTGTGGCGGGCACCAGTGGTAGCATCTTTTGCAGCCTGATCTTTGTCTCCGACTCGTACAACTGGCGGATGGAAATGTGGTATTGTGTCCCAGCAAGCCTCCTGTACTTTCCAAATCTGGCTTCCAGAGAGTCTGTTTGAAATTTGCCGAGCAGAACATAGCTGAAACCAAGCTCCCTGAGGCAGTAGATGGACACCTTTACCAGGGTGGAGCAAGTCAGTCTGAGCGCTTTATGTGTCTCATTGGTCAGTCTCCCACTGTCTGTGTCCATTGCTTCCCAGGTGTCGAGCCACTGGACCATGTCACTGAGGAACTTGAGCTTCGGATCTGCCACAGAGCTGACAGGCTCCTGCATTGGATCTCGCAGCCTCTGCCCTTTCAAGGGGGTCTTCACATTCGCCACTTTCCACCACCTCACAATCAGCTCGATGAAGTTAGCCGTTTCCAGGACGTGCTGGATGCCGAGGTCGTGGCCAAGTGTCCTTAAAGCTTGCACGACGTGGTCATTGAAGATTTTCAAGACCAACCTCACATTTTGGCGCTCCAGACTTGATGGATGTAGCGCCTTGGCACTGAGTCCGTAGCCAAACTTAGCCAGTTGGTCAGTCTCGTGAAGCTGTAACTCCCTCAAGGCATCAAATGAAGCTTGTTGTTGTGATGTGGCAGGAGTCGCCGTTTCGATGCTTTCGAAGCTTGGGAATGCGAAGCACTTTCCAGGAGTTCCTTGGCTCAGCCAGTTGTTGCGAATGCATTTCAACAAGTGTACAGGGTCCACAATGAAAAAGAGGGGCCTGTCTGTGTCTGCTGGGTGGCTGTAGACCATATCGAATTTGGCGTGGGTGGCGAATTGTGACATCATCTTGCGGTTGATGGCATTATTGTCGGTTACGACGGCGATGATCTTGAATCCTAGTGCCTCTAGCCTTAGAATAATTTTCTTCACGAAGCAGTGCAGCTGTTGGGCATCTATCTGGCACACAGGGAGGACATGTACGACATCTTTGTTGGATGACAACAGGCTCTGTATCATGAACACATGTGCTGTTCGTGCTGCTTTGCATGAGTTGGCAGAGCTGCCTTGGACATTTCCTCCCTTATAATCGATGTAAGGTTTTAAATGTACTTCATCCAACATGAGGGTGGCAACTTTTTCGTGATCCTCAAGGTGTTCACTTTGTTTTTTTATGTAAGACAGAAGCTGTTCATCGTCTTGCTCTGTTGAGGGGTTCAGCTGTTGGTTGGAACACAGTCTCCTGATCGTAGAGGGATGTGGCAGCATGATACGGGAGGTGCCCCTCATAAACTTGTACGCGTGTGGCGAAATGGTGTATATGAGGCTTGCAAAAATGAGAAAGTCTGGTGCATACTTGGGCTTTTTTCTCAGGAGCACATCTACCTGTTGGCACAAAAATGCCAGCGCGTCTGCGATGTCCTGAACTTCATTGTCATTCCTGAGGTCATCAAGTAACGACAGGATGAGTCCAAGAATGGCGTCCTTCTTCTTGCTGGTGCCAGATGATGTGGCTGACTTGTCGAATGCTCTGATGTTGTCGAGCAGGTCAACCAGCGTTTTCAGACTGGTGATGGTGGTCGGTATCCAAAAGTCGCCTGAAAGCTTGGTTGTCTTTGTGCTGTAACAGTATACTGATACCGTTAAGTCAGGCTTCACAGTAACGGAGTACTTCAGCTGTGGGGCGTTGTTGGGGTCTTGGTTGATGTTCAGGAATGTAACACCTTGGTCGTTTTGAATGCAGTTCCAGAAGGGAGTAGCATTGATGTCTTGGATTTGGTCTATGAGTTGGTCAAATGAGATATCATTTTCCTCATTGGGTTCTCTTGGTCTCTTTTCAGGTGGCTCTGCCAGTGGTGGTTCTTGGGGCAGTGAAGAGGTGCTGCAGGCAAATATTGTCGGCACAGCATTGTTGGAAAGTCTCGGTCTATCGAGACGGGCTTGGAGGACTGCTCCGGTTCTGGGGTCTGTGTACTGTGTTGACGTGATCACGAATCTGTCTTCAAAGTGTGCTGCACACACCTACAATAAAGAAAGTATGACTGTTTCATGTGACTGCTGTTATGTGGTAGCCAAAGCAGCTGTAAAATTTGGTGAAGAATGTGAAATAATTTTGTAGTGAGGCATTTGACTGTTTCATTGCCTGTTACGAAAAAAAATGTCTCCTCTTCTTTTCTTTTTTGACAATAAAATTTCTGGCATTATTGAATTTTAGATAGTTGTTCTTGATTTACGGTTAGCTTTTTATAACGCATGTTCGCCACTGAAGGCATGAATATATTTCCTCAATCCAAACTGACCCTTTAGCGAAGGAAGCTAGTAGATTGTCCTTCAAATGATGTAAAAGCATAGATGAGTGCCATATATTTGCACTACATTTCAAGTAGTGCAAGAAAGAGTGAATAAGGAGAGTTGTACATATAAAACAAAACTAAGTAATCGAGGTGCTTATATATATTCCATTTTGAATGCTGGTGTATCAAAGCTACATTTGTTTTTACTGTACTGGAGTGCTCTGTGAATGCTCTGTGCACTGTATGTTAGTTAAGCAGAGAAGTTTATATTGCTGGTGGCCCACATCATTCAGCATATCCCGTCCACCGTAAATTACGGGCTTGAGTTGAGCTTATTGGTGAATTATACTATAATTATAAATAATATATGCCTAATAATAAATTAATGTAAGTCTGTCCCCTTTTCTCCCATTTTTTCCTCTTTTTTTTTTTTCTTGTTCCATAAGTTCATCTAACCATGCGTCAATCGAACCTGGCCGAACCTGGCACCTTAGTTGGGGTTCCAGTTGGACTCCTCGGGCAGCGACAACTCTAACTAGCAGTTGTTTTGATATTCTCTCTCATCAAATATTCAGCTTTTAATTTCACAGATTACTAAAGTCACGTGGAATATAATACTTCAGTGTTTTTCTTGGGGTAGAAAGGAGTGCATGACTACAAAGGAACTATAAAAGAGGTGAAGGTGTTCTCCAGTGATTGTGCACTGTTGGGACTACCCCTGAGGAATGAGCCTGTAGCGTAGAAAAGTGCCTGCACTGTATGAACGCACGTGCGAGACCGGAATGCGCAGAGCGTTGGGCTGGTTGGGCACGCGTCTCTAGCTTTTTCTTAATTCGCTCGCACGGGACACCGTTCAAAACAAGAAAAACACGATCAAAACATGAGGACTACGCTTCGATTTAGTGGAGTCCGTATTTCGAACGTTGCCGGCACGCAACATCGAAACAGCTGCCCGGTAGGACCCATTCACAGGGCAGCGTTTTCTTACGCTACGTTACGAATGCAAGTCTCCTCGACTTCGACATTCGTGCTGCATATGTGCCGTGCGCGAAGTTACACTGAACCGGTTGTCATATGCGCCATTAAGCACTGAATATGCAATTCCTGTACCGTGGTGCTCTGAAAAGGTTGCGAAATTACATATCGTACCCCGCGTCAATTTTTCTGCGCGACGTTGAAACTTTCTGATCGGCTCGCAGCTCGACTGTATGATCGGCATCACGCCGACAATGTCGTCAGTAACTCGGCGCTGCAGCACTGCGGAAGCTACACTTTCTTCGTGAACGGTGGGTATAGTAAGCCCAAATTGCGACAGAACGTCAGTTTGCAGATGTACCTGCCGAGTTTGCGAGTGCGCTCTTACGTCGATAAACAAGAGGGAAAAAAAAAAAAAAAAAACTTCAATAAAACAAACTGCACTACGTGCATTTTCTCGCCCGTCCTTATCGAGATCCCATCTCGTGTCGAATACGAAAAGAAGTTTCTATCAGTGTAACCTCGTAGTTCTTCAACTAAAGAGGCACAAGAGCCAATGCTTGAATGTACTACGTGCGCACCTTTGAGCGTTCGGACACTACACTCTCCTTCGGCAGTGCTTGCAGCCACTGCTGCCTTCGGGTTTCATCGGTCGGGAACGAAACAACTGGCACTGAACTATAAGACTTGTGCTTATTTCCTTGGCAATTTTTCACGCAGCAGTGGAACGGCATTTCATCCGATTTTTTCAACCTTCGCGGGTCGAGCGTCTGACGATACAGCGGCAGTGCTGTCAACCGCTCTAGCAGACGATGTAGCAGACGACGGCGCTCATCCGGGCTACCTAGGGGGCGCTCGGGGGATCTACTAGTGATGACGTTTAGAGGAGGAAACGCGCAGGCCTTGTGTTCTAGGTGGTATTGGCAAAACCATGGCGGAAAAAGAAAAAAAAACAAAGAACTGGTGTCGCTACCGATGGGGCGTCGAAGACGCGATCCTTAAAATATGAAACCGAAACCAGTAAAAGTTGCAATACTGAAACCGAAACTGACCAAATCGCGGTAGAGGGGCGCTGTAAATAGGTCTGTTCACATGATGCATCGTGTTGGCGAATCTTGTGGCGCAAAACTAGGTTTCGGGAAACAGATTCCCCGTCTGAACTCGACCAAAAAAGTGGCGCGACTCCGAAAAAAGTGGCGCGTGTTTCTCACTTCTGCAGCAATTTTTCGCTGAAACCTCACCGACGCCCGTCAATCACCCGAAGGAGAAACGCGGACGCTGCCAATGGCCGCTCGACGTCGCTATGACGTCTGACCTTCGAGGAGGAGCGAGCTTTTGGAGGAGTCTGATTTTTGGCCGATCCCGTATCCGAGCTTTGCCGAAAGAAAACAAACAAACATGGCGAGCGACAAGCCCCCCTATGCGACAAGCGAAGAAGCGGTGCGTACGGGCGACGAGTTTTGGTCCTACTCGGTTGCAGGTGTGTGAACGGCGCCTACAGTACGGATTGGGGGCGCGGTGCAGATTCGTCAACAGTCGCGGCGGGTGCAAGCACCGTATATAAACATGATGACTGGGGATAGCGTTTTTTATTAGCGGTGTAAAAATGTCTAAAATGCTTCGAGATCATCTCGCGGTTTTTCCCGGGTTTGGCAGGACTAGTAAACCCAGTGAGCCGAATCTGACGAAATTCATTGAGTGGCATTAATAAAACAGGCTGTCCCTTCACACTGTGCGTACTTCATATCATTTTGATGCGAAACGCTTGGTATTCCCGGTGCAGATGACAATTAAGGTTTGGCGGAATTCTCGTGAGTCAATACGTCACAGGTTTCGCGTGTAGGGTGCAACGCACCCACAGTCAAACTCCACGTGTGAACAGGCCGATTTCGCGAAATCTTGGTTTCGCTAAACTGTGGCGCGTTGAAGAGATACATCGTGTGAATAAGCCTTTAGGAGTAGAAGAGGGTGAATACAGTTATTATTTTAAGCACAGGAAATAAATCTGTATATCAGAACTAGCACCGACGCGCTATTTGTTTCGGGTGCAATGCAGTAGGGAGTAGATTTATTGATTTTGTTTTTTGATAACACTCATTTTAATGTGTAATGAGTAAACTCAAAAGAATTGCTATTGATTGGGTAACGATAAACCTCACTTGAATTTGTAATGAGTAAACTCGAAAGAATTGATATCGATTGGGTAACGATAAACCTCATTTGAATTTGTGATGAGTAAATTCAAAAGAATAGATACGGAGTGGCTAATGATAAAACTCATTTAATGATGAGTTTCTTATGAGTTTCATTTGACTCTATAAAAACACATTGGAAGCTCAATTGAAACTCATTGTTCATTTTTGTAAGGGCCGCACTTAGTTTTCCCAGCGACGCAGGGGAGACACGCTTTCTCGGCGGGGTCGTGACACCGGGGACGCTGAACGTCGTGGCGATGGGGAGCAGGCTTCACGGCGGAGAGACGACACTGGGGAGGGCGAGCGTCGGAGGTACTTCTCGATGTCGCGAGGGCGTTCGCCGTACCTTGGACGTGGGTCGTTCGGGTGGAACCCACGCAGGCCCATTTGCCGGTAAAGACAACGGCGGTAGATATGGTCGGCCTCCCCGTAGTGGTAGCAGATGGGTCTTCGATCCGCTGTCCTCCACACGTCGGTTTTCCTTGGCGCCGGCTGTTCTCGGCGGTCGTACTGACGTACTTCGTCGTTGCGTCGGGGGTACGCCTGCGTTGGCGGGTCTCGTCGTGGCGCCACCGGGTAATGTTGAGCAGTTGGCGGCGGTCGTCGGGCCACTGCGGCGTAGGTCACTGTCGGCTCATCGGCTGCGGCCACGCAAGCAAGAGTCTCCGGTTGAATTGTCCGCTGAACTTCTTCGCGTACCACTTCGGCTATCGACAGCGAAGCCGGCTGGTTGGCAGCAGGCAGCAGCTTCCTGAGCTCTTCCCGGACGATGTCGCGGACAATTCCACGCGATTGTCAGTGTTGATGCCGCCCTCATCGAATCGGGAAGACATCAGCGACGAAGCAGCAGGCGTCGGTTGTAGTGGGTGGCTCGGATTGACAGGGCCCGCTCGATGTTAGTTGCCTCGGCGAAGAATTCATCGGCAGTAGTTGGTGGGTTGCGAACAAGACCACCAAAGATGTCACTCCTCACTCCTCTCATCAGGACGCGCAGCTTCTTCTCCTCGGTGGACTGAGGGTCGGCGCGGCTGCTCATGCGGAGGACGTCTTCAACGAAGCTGGTGACCGTTTCGTTGGGCCCTTGAGTTCGTTCTTGAGGGAGGTCTTCCGCTCGCTGTCGTCGTGTCTGGTTCGTGAATGTCTCCTTCAGGCCAGCGATACAGGTGTCCCACGACGTAAGCGACGGCTCGTGGTTCTCGAACTACTGCATCGCGGTATCCTCCAGGGAGAAGTAGAGGTTTTGGAGGCGCTGCTCAGTGGTTTATCTAATATGGCGTGCTACACGTTCGTAGTGCAGAAGCCAATCCTCTACGTCTTCGTGGGTCTCGCCATGGAAGGTCGTCGGGGTTCGCTGGGCAACAGGCAGGTAGATGACGGCGGCGGCGGTCGGGGACTGCGATTGCTGGTCGTCCATCGTCGGCCTCGTTGGCGGCTTGGTCCTAGGTGGCAGAAGTCCGTATTCTGGGTGTAGACCTTGGGTGCGGCGACTGGTCCGAGTTTCAGGTTCCGCGTTGAGTGGTCTTCTCACCGGGCTTGGAATTCGGCTTGCACTGCGGGCCCTGGGAGGGGAACGCTGCACGGGCA